CGAATGCTCGCAGCCCTTCAGTTTCTTCTGCACAAGGGTTGGGTATCCAAGGAATGGATGCTAATGGACGCATGAGATCGCCTGCCCATGGATCTGGATATTCGGATTCAAACAGAATGGACTATCCCCGTGAGGAGCAAGAGTGGGACCGAGGTTATGATGAGCACAACTATCGAGGCTCATCCGGTTCAACAGCATCGTCTACGAACGCGGACAGAGTTTATCAACGCGAGAGATCCAACACAGTTTTATCAGAACGATCGGAGCGCTCTGTCCGTTCAGCCCGTTCGGAGCGTTCAGAACGCTCTGGCCATGGATCTCGCTATGAAGACGAACGAGAGCGCGACCGCGATGTCCGTGGTATGTCCACTTCATCACGAACCGGGCGCCAGGATCCATCTTCCGCTTACAAGACTCCTTCACCCCCTATTTCCCCAGAAGATGCTCACTCAGTCGATGCCTTATCAGGACCTCGGCAACCTTACAGACCCCCTACTCCACCAGATGTCTCTGCTCCTGTTCCATCCAGAGGTAGGTTTTTTTTTTTTTCAGTTTCGATTCTTCTGAGCTTAAATATCAAGCTATTGGATAAATTCTTACACTTTTTTATTATTATTTACTCAGGGCGTGCACCACCTACACGAAAGCCAAGTGGAGATCAGTTCGATGCCCTGATGGACGATTTAATGCAGGAAATCAATGTGATGCCATCTGGTCGTGACGTGAGCCGACCTGGATCCTCACACCGATCTCGATCCCGTCCCAATCTGCCAGAGGGAGGCCGAAGCAGGGATCTAGGTGCTGGATCTCCACCACCGACTCCCAAGATTAATGGCGGCGTGGACAGCCGTAGCCAGCGTTCCGGACGGGAGCGTAGTGACCGAGATCGCGAACGTTCAGATCGTAGAGACCGTGAACGTGAACGAGAGCGAGAACGAGGAGTGATGACGGGAGAGGAGCGTGAGCGTGCACGTGACAGAGAGAGATCAGCTACCTCTGGACGTGCACGTAGCCGTTCGACGAACCGTCGTGGTGCTGTTCCACATTGTGAAGGTTGTAAACATGACATTCAACCTCAGGAGCTTGCAGAGGCGATCAAGATGCCTCATGGTGATTATCATCCAGAATGCTTCAAATGTGCACGTTGCCGTCGACCACTCGAGTCTTCACGCCATGGATATGAATACGAAGGTAGACTTCTCTGTGAAAAGGATTACCAGCGATATCTGGAGAAGGATGCACAGCGCTCAGATCGACCCTCACGAAACCGTGGAGCTGCAGTTTGTGCAGGTTGTGATGCACCGATCCAAGGCGAATCACCAGTCTATGCATTGGGTCAAGCATGGCATGAACACCATTTGGCATGCTATCAATGCAAGAAGCCTATTCAACAATCTGTGGGTCATGTAGAGAAGAATGGACGGGTGTATTGTCCCAAGGATTTTGGAGAGTTATTCTTGCCCAAGTGCCGTGGATGTGGATTGCCAGTAGAGAAGGAAGCTGTCTGTGCACAGGATGGAAAATTGCAAGGCAAATGGCATGCAGCTTGCTTTGGATGCCAAACTTGTAAGAAGCCTTTCCCAGACAAGAGCTTTTATGTCTATGGTGATTCACCCTATTGCAGGAGACATTACCATAAACTGAACAACTCTCTCTGCAAGGGGTGCGATGAACCTATCGAAGGGCCTTGTGCTCAGACTGTAGAGGTAAGCCAAAAAAAAAAAAAAAAAAAAAAAAAAAAAATCGGTCTTTCAATTCTCGGGGCATTTACAAAGAGGCACTAATTTTAATTCTTAATACACGATCGATTCATTATTGTAGGGCTGGAGATTCCATCCTGGATGCTTCTGTTGTGTGGAGTGCAAAGTTCCATTGACTGATATTTACTACAACTTTGAGAATCAGGCCTATTGCGAGAGAGATATCACAGTCATGCAACGTACTCGTAATGTTCGTGCTGAGCGTCGCAAGACACAATTTGGAAAAATCTAAGATAATGACAATGACTAAAAAAAAAAAAAAAAAAAAAAAAAAGAATTTGGACATGGATGAGACGACAGCGAAACATTGAGAAAGAGAGAGAGGGAGAGAGAGATCAAAGAGACTCTTGTCTATCACTTCCATGATCGAGAAGGAAGCAAAAGTTGGTGAGAACGAAGAAGGATTAAGATTTATTTATTTTTTTTGCTATTTTTTATTTGTTCCCTTCACATGCATATATTTGTTTTCTTTTTAATGCGTAGTTATCTCGGTATCCTTTTCGTTTATTTTTTTGCTTCCTTTCTTTTTTTTTTTTTTTTTTTGTTTTTTTTTCTATCAGGTCATTCTCCTGAATCATACCAAAAATGAAGGAAAAGAAAAAAATGAGCCTAGTTCACGCCTATTTTTTGTAATCGCGAAGCCTAACTTGTAGACAAACGAAAAATAATTAATTTTATATAATAAAATATATATATACATAAAGATAAATAATAATATATAAATGTATTATATATATATATATATATATCATATAAATTTGTATATGTATGATAAAGCTTTTGTTTTGCATTTCTTTTTATTATTATGAATATTATAGCCATTCTAAGTTTTTCTTAAAAAAAATAATCTCTTCGTTAAAGCTGAGAGCAAAAGACATAAGGTCGAGTTGAGGTAAAATAAAAGTACAAAAAAAAAAAAAAAAAAAAAAAATATATAATCATCAAAATAAAAAAATCATCAAAAAATAAAAATGCAAAAAAAAAAAAAAAAAAAAAAAGAAGAAAAAGAAAAAGACATGATAAAAGGGTGGGATATAAGAAGGATACTACCTATAAGAAGATGAAGACGAGGATGACTTCTTCATTCCAAGGATTTGTCCATTCTCATCCACAATATAATTGAAAAAGGGATGTCGTAATGCCTCTGCTGCTGTGATACGTTCCGCTGGGTCATAAGTTAATAGCCGACTGAGTAGGTCCACAAAGTCAAGTGAGAAATCACTGATCTCTTCACGATTTCCATTGCTGCCACTTTCGGATGGGATTACATATTCCTGGAATAGGATTTTTTAAAAGAAAAAAGAAACCGGTTTTTAGTAAAGGGACTTTTTTTTTTTTTTTTTTTTTTTTTTTAATAAACTAATAAATACCCAAACAAAATAACAATCCTTACCCGTAATGGCTTCAATGCTTTGACATATTTCCGACTATTTCGCTTAGTCTCATCATTTGGATAATCGAGCCGTCCATGTACAAAGTATTTCTGAGAGGATTTACTATTGAAATATAAATATAATATAAATAGATGGATAGTGCATTTCATTAGATAAAGGTTGAAGCCATTTAACGACTAACAAAAAAAAAAAAAAAAAAAAAAAAAAAAAGAAAAGAAAAAGAAAAAGTAATATATATATATATATATAACTTACTGAGATGCGCGTATGAGTTTGTCCGGAATGGGTCCCAAAACTGCTTGCATCATGGCCAGATGCTCCAAATTGTCGTGTGTCTGAAATAATGCCTCGCCTGTTAAAAATTCAACCAAGATACAACCAATTGACCAAATATCGCATGGGTAAGACCAACCAAGGCCTATTTTCCACAAACCGATAAGGATAAATATTAGTGTTCATTACTTGCATATCGTCAAAAAGGAGTAATATTCACTATCATTTATATTATCTTACCTAGAATGATCTCTGGAGCTCGATAGTGTCGTGTGCTAACAATAGTTGAATGATGTTCATTTTGAAACGTAGCGCTTCCAAAGTCAATAAGCCGAATCTCTGGATCCAATAGAATCCTCCTTGTTTTCGATGCAGATTTCTATAGAACAAATAGAAGGAGGAGTACACAAGACATGAAAAAGTACCATTGCATTGTCAATTCAACATGCAATTATCGTATTGAAAGAGTACAAGTTTACGACTTTTTTTTTTAAAAAAAAAAAAAAAAAAAAAAAAAGTGAATTTAAAAAAGACTAGAGTATAAATATACCTTATACGGGGCTTGCCGATACGCTCCATTTGCAAGAAGAATGTTCTCAGGCTTCAAGTCCGTATGGATCAATCGTAGTCGATGAAGAACTTTAAAAGTAATCAAAAAAAAAAAAAAAAAAAAATGCAACATGTGAGTGCTCATTAATGTCTTAATCAGCTGCTTTTGCCCCAATCTCCGCGGAACGAAAAGAAATTTCCATGCTTTGTACAATGTTAAATACATGAATGTGGACAAAAAGAAAGAACCTTTTTGTTATTCCTCATGGTTCTATCTCTACCACTTCAGACTTACATGCGACACTATTGAACAATTGTCGTGCGAAATGCTGGATTTGATTGGGTGGAAAAGGGCAGAACGCATTGTCTTTAAGCCAGTCATAGATCGACTGACCAAGAAGATCAAACACCATACAAACGTGCCTTCGATAGTCAAAACATTCGTTCAGATGCAAGCATTGACTTTTTTTTTTTTTTTTATGATAAAAAAAAAAAAAAAAAAAAAAAAGTCAGTAACATTTCATTAGTATAGTGTCATTCAAGAAGAAGGAATAAAAAAGAGAGAGAGAGAGAGAGAAAAAGACTATAGTTACAAATACTGTAGAACATAGACTTACTATCGATTCTGCGGATCATGTTGCTTAAGCGTATCCAAGACACGAGCCTCAATCTTGCTAGCCTCCCGGTATTTTTGAACAGCCCTAATGATTTTAATCGCACAATGTTTCCCAGTCTCACGATCAAAACATTCGACAACCTTTCCAAACGTTCCTTGTCCCAAGAGACGAATGATTTTGTCTGATGTAACATTGTTTTTTTTTTTTTTTTTTTTTTTTTTAAGAAAAAAAAAAATAAAAAAGTAAATACTTCTGGGATATCTCTCCATATATTTTTGTCCGCATAGAAAGTAAGCGAGTTAAGGAATGTAGGGAAAACAAACGCGATATTATATAAAGATTCAACTTACATCGAGGAGTCAAATCTTCATTAGGAACAACAATGTAATGGCCTTCTTTATCATCCCAAGGAGTAGATGTTGCTGGAGGCTATAGTAAAATAATAATAATAACAATAAAAAGCCATAAGTCAAGGTCAGAATCAATGTCAATAGAAAGCTTCTTTACACGTTAAAAACAGCTACAAGGTTTTTTTTTTTTTTTTTTTTTTTTTTTTTTTTTTAGTTTTGGCTTTTGGCTTTTGGCTTTTTATAAAAACTTACATCTCGACTAGATGCGGGCGGAACTTTAGCCGCAACAGGCTCATGCTGTTGATGATAATAACCTCCGCCTCCACTAGAATATCCATGGCCATTCTGTGAAGTGGACGACTGATGTGAAGGGGGTGCAATATATTTGACAGCCGAGTTTGATTTTCTCCTTTTTCTGGGCGGCGGTATCGTATCCGGCGCTGTCAACTCTGAAGAATCTCCATAGTCATGTGGATACCTAGAACTGGAATATTGGTAAGGGCGGCTGTAGTGATCATAATGATGATGTGATTGATGGTAGCGCTGGGGTGATGATGGGGGTGGATAATGATATGCTGACGAATAAGACGACGAACCCGAGTAGTATGGATCATGATCACCAGAAAGTGAGAGATAAAGAGGTTGCTGGTGTTGTTGCGAAGGTTGATAGTGCTGATATGATGGATGAGGATATGATCCATTGGATCCAAGGGGAACCAGTTCTGCGGAAGGTGGTCTCTTGTTAAGCCGTCTTGATGTCCTACTTGAAGGCTCTAGTAGCATGCTGGGCGCCACCGCTGTTAGAATAGAGGGATGATGATAGTGGCCATCATGACTCCCCTCAAAACCGGTTTGGTGATTTGAGGAATGGTTGTGATCTGAGCTGGTATGACTGACATGGTGTGGTAAGGATGATGATGGTGGCGGCATCGCATAGGATCGTGGCGAAGCCCTCAACGGATAAGAGGTCGAAGAATCATGCTGCTGATGAGACGCTTGCGGAGGAAGAGGGGGATGATGGTTGTCCCGATGATAGCTGCTCCGAGTGCTGCCACCGCCACCACCACCGTAACCATTGCTGCTGCTGTTGCTATTACTGCTACTGCCACTCCCAGGAACTTGTTGATGACGCTGGTAGTGCGAGTATGAAGCTGAGGAAGAAGACGGAGGTGGTGGAGTATCATCTTCGATTACAATGACTTCCTGGGGAGGCCCGTTCTTATAGAATTCCGCCCAATTGGTTTGTCGTTTCCCGCCACTTCTACTGCAGCCTCTTTCTCGTACTGAACGTGGCGCCCGTGTGGTCGTCAGGCTCATTGTACCTCAGTGATCACCTTTCGTCACTTGTGCTGTGCAAAAGAGGAGGAATGCAAGCTCCTGCTGGGCGTGGAGAGGCGGATACACTCCCCTTTTGCGAATCCAATAATAACAACTCGTTCCTGGAGCTTTCTTTTTTCTGTGCGACTGAACTCTTTTTTTTTTTTTTTTTTTTTTTTTGCTTTTTTTTTTTTTTTCCTCCTTCACCGGTTTCTGCTCTTTTCTGTCTTCCTGAAAGATCCTAAATGAAGTTGCTGATGGAGATGAATTGGATCCTGGAATGGATAAATGATGGTTAAAAATTGGCAGGAAAAAATATATGAAATGAAAAAAAGGCCAATCGATAATAATAATAATAAATAAACAGTGGGCTGTAAAAATGGTCAATAAAAAAAATAAAAAAAACAAAAGAAAGTGTTCACATGGCAAACAACACAAGATGAGCTTTTTTTTTTAAAAAAGAAAAAAAAGAAATAAGGAAAAAAAGAAAGAAGGTGGTTTTCTGTGGGAGCAGCTGAGAGAGAGGAGACAATTCAATGTTGTTTATAGTTGATGTTTAGTCATTGGTCCAAATGACAAAAACTTTTGGTTTGTTGTAGTAGCTGCATAATTTTTTTTTTTTTTTGTCTCTTTGGTTTGCTTTAACACACCTACGCAAGGAAAAAACAAAGACTGGGCAGAGTAAATTGCGTCTGCTTCTCTTTGTCCCTTATTTTTATTTTCTTTTTCTTTTCTTTCACTCTCCTCTCTTCCCGGCTATTTTTTTTTTTTTTTTAGCTTGGAAAGGATGGACGAATGGATGGAGGTTAATGAGGGATTGGTGACTTCTAAAAGAACCGATCGATCACATCCTTTGTGCCTCTTTGTATTGTGTGTCTCAAAAACGGAAATTCGAGGGCATTCTCTATACGGATTTTTAGAGTGTTTACGTAGTATCACGAATACGTATGCTACCCTTAGAATATGGTATGCATTACGTATCATAAAGGAAACGTGATTTAGAATGACAAAATTCATACCCCAACCTTAAAAGCGTAGAAGCTAAGGAACACATTTCACGAGATGTGCAGCATTCTTCAAATTGTCCTTGTTCCCTCTCAATTAGCTCACCTTTAATCCTCTTTACCCCCTTCCATCCTTATTTCTCTACATCGTCTGTCATCTCTGAATTCTTTACTATAAAAAAAAGAAAAAAGAAAAAAAAAAAAAAAAAAAAAAAAAAAAAACGCATTTACACATTACATAGACAAAACTCTGATGTTTGCAAGACTTGCCAAGCGGGCTGCACAACCCGTGTCTGCCCTGAGGGGTACCAAGAACTGCAATAACAACATCTTGCGCAATCCTTCCCTTGGTTTAAATGCCATCCGTCATCAGTCCTCCTCATCCTCCAGTCGAGATAATGACAACAGCAACAATTCGGAAGTGGAACCCATCAGTCCAAATGAGAAACCAGTCAATGCCTCGTTTGAGTTACAACAAGTCGATCTTGCTCATGGCTCATTCTTTGCATTGCATCGCCCTCTGCTGGGTATTACCAACGGTCCCATGTTTGCCAGCAACAACGGCCTGTTTAACGATGATGACCCTGAAGGCAAGTTCTCCTCTCTTCCTCTTCCTTCCCCTTCTCCTTGTTTAGAGGGAGCGACGTTAATTTTTATTTTCTGGGCCTCCCGCCCAATTGAAAAGGACACTCTTGATTATCTCTTTCCCTATTCATTCCTATCCACTGGCTCTATTTTCTATCCTAAGCTCGTGATCATATCTAATAGGCTCATGGTCATGATGCAAGGAAATGCAGTTCAAGTTATACGACTATCCATTGCCATAATAGTTATTCTTACCCTTTTGGATACTTTTGCTAATATTGCTCTTTTTTTTTTCCCTGTTCAATAGATGCAGTTGTTGAGGACTTGACCAATTATTTTTCTACACTGCATCCATTTTCAATTGGATCATCATCACTATCACTACCCTCGCTTTCATCACCCGTGACCGCTACAGCAACTGCCTGGGCAAGTTTGCCTCCGACTCTAACGGATGCAGATCAAGCTGCAGATGAGTTTTTGAGGATGATGCAGGACAAACATGACAGGATGAGTTACTTTGAACAATTGGAATTGGCTCAGAAAGCAGAAGCTGAGGAAGCAGCAGCCCGTCTTTTTAGGCGCATGAACACTCCATCTTCTAAAAACAAAACACAAAAGACAGACCAGCACCGCCACCAGCACCAATCTATGACAGCGAATGAACAGAAAGAGTCTGAAACAAAGAAGGCACCATCAAAAATTCAAATCTTTTGTTATGATGATAACTATTCAATAAGATCAGTGGCCACAGTAGAAGCGGAAGCCATTCTGGATCCACTTTTGAATAACGAAAATGGAATGTACTTGACGAGTGTACTTCGTAAAAGACGTATCAAGATGCGGAAACACAAATATAAGAAGTTGCGCAAGAGAACTCGAGCCTTGCGTAAGAAGCTTGGCAAGTAAGGAGGAGGGAAAAAGAAAAAATTGACAAAAAAAGAAAGAGGCAGAAAAAAAAAAAAAAAAAAAAAAAAAGTACAGCTTATATCTATTATCATTTAAGCCTGAGCGTTGGGCATGAAAGCACAAAAAAAAAAAAAAAAAAAGAAAAACATTCTTCTTGTCCAAAGACCCAAAGGCTAAAGAATGTAATGTGTATAATCGCTGATCACGTCGCAACGGCTCGTGGCTGTGCTCTGCCCGTGCGAATAGCGGTGTGCAATCAAAGCGTATAAAATGCTCTATACATTTTTTTTACATTTTTACATTTTTAAACAATATGTTCTATACTTTATTTATTAACTTTTATTTTATTATTTTGCAATCGAATCATTTCAAAGGAACCTGTACAAATGACAAAAGGGACCTCCAAAGGACCAAAGTAAAATAAATAAAAAAAAAGTCACAAACAGCTGTTCATATAAAAGTCGTCTCTGTTTCATTCCCAACCTTTTCTTTCTTTTTTGACCCTGCAACACTTTTTTTTTTTTTTTTTTTTTTTTTTTTTTAATTCTTTCTTCATATTCTCCTATCAATTCTTCCTAGCTTTTTTTTTTGTTGTTGTTGTTGTTATTATTGTTGTTGTTATTGTTATTGCTATTTTTTATTCAAACACAATGAAGTTCTCGTTTGCTACTTCCGTCGTCTCTGTCTTGGTTTTGGTCTTGACTGTTTCCTCGTCAACTCCCGTGCAAGGTGGCAACGTCTTTTCTCATATTGTTTCCTCTCCAAATCATAATAATCACAATACTAATAACAACAACAATAACAATAACAATAACAACAATAACAATCATAACAACCACTACAACCATAATGTATTACATCCACAAACGCATTCTCCCTCACAACCTAATCAAACTAGTCATCTTGAATGGAACTCTCAAATAGGAGGCCGTCTCTCCCGTCAAGGTGGTGAACGAGGCCAATTTCAGCCCTATACCAATTTCGCATTACAAGACAGTTCTTCGCACCAACAGCAACAGCAACACTACGGAACAACGGACGAAAAGGGCTGTTCCTCTTCTTCTGGTTCTACACTCAATCCGATCCCTTGTCCAAAGAGAAATTTAGTCTATTTGCCCGATATGCAATCCTTTTTGATTCAATCTCCTCTAACTTATCAAGAAGCTGTTCAGGTCTGTATCGCCTGTGGATCCGAATTGGTCTTGATCGATGGTACCAACGTCGACCGATTCCGTGAAGCTTTTAGTTCCTTGGGAGGATTATATGGAGATCAGCGTTTCTGGATCAAGAGGTATACAGATATATATATATATATTCTTTCCCTTTCTTCTGGATCTTTCCAAAAAAAAAAAAAAAAAAAAAAAAAAAAAAACACATTTTTTTTTTCTAAATTACTTTTTCATGATTTGATAGCTGGTTTGGTGAATTAGTTCATCAAGGCTCTTGTCCCGCAACATTGATTAATCCACTCATGGGTAATCGTCTCGAACGTAAGTCCATAATATCGTCATGGAACAAAGAAAAAAAAGAAAAAAAGAAAAAGAAAAAGAAAAGCGACTCCTCATCTGACGCTGACGACGATGCATAATGCATAAATACAAAAAAATAAAGAAAACTTCCTCCTCCCCCTCAGATCTACATCTAATTTTTATCCAATGTCTTCTTCTAATATTTAGCTGTTGAGGAGGATTGTCAAGCTCGACTTTATGCACTATGCTACTAAGAAGTGCAATTTCTTTTCTCCTCCTTGTCCTCTCCCCTACAAAACAATAAACCTCCTTGCCAGTTCCACATTGTAAACATTGTCTTTCTCCAAGCAAAGTAGTAAACGAACGATACAAAAAAAAAAAAAAAAAAAAAAAAAAAATTTATCCTCAAAAAATAAAACAAAAAAAGAGATCTCATGTGACTATGAATACATCAAGCATATTAAAAAAAGACAAAAAAAAAAAAAAAAAAAAATTAGGAATGCTATTGTACAAGATGGTCATGAAGATATACTGAACAATCAACAAAAACACAGATAAAGTAAAATATATATATAAAAAAAAATAAAAAATAAAAAAAAAAAAGGCATGCAATGGAGAGGAGAGATACTGGGAGTCATAAAAAAAAAAAAGAAAAAGAAAAAGAAAAAAGAAAAAAAGAAAAAGTGATCATGTATCTTGAGAAGGTGGTGCTTCTTCCGTAACGTCTGAAACAGCGGGCACATCATTTTCCTCTTTCATCTCAGTAGCGGTAGTAGAATTAATTGTGGCTGTGGATGAGCCTAAGCTGGAGGCTATCGTAGTCGTCGAACTGGATGCAGAATTTGTAACCACAGGTGTTGCTGTTTCAGATGATGGCAAGCTTTTAGGCTTCCTGAACTGACCGCTGATGGCTCGCAGCTGTGCCATAGATGCACCGATTAGTGTTTCTTTGGCAGAGGGGGCTTCCTCAATTGCTGCTGCCTGCTGTTGCTGAAGCTGGAGCTGCTGATTCTGGCGCTTTAAAAGCTTGGCATAGTCTGTTAAAATAGAGTCAAAGAAGACGAAGAAGAAAGCTAAAAGTTAATAAAAAATTTGTAAACACCATGGGCTTGTGGCAACTTGTTACGATGTCAAAATATACTTACGAAGTCCGCATGCATTGCACAGAGTGCGTGCTCCATCAGGTCCTCGCCTCCATTCAGGAGTATCAGATGAATCACAAGAAAGACATCTTCCAGGAGGTTGCATCCGCTTCGCCCGCTTCCGATACTTTGGTTGGGCCTGGTCATTCCTATTTGATGCTCTAATCAGTGAACCGTTATCATTATAGGATGACATTCCTGCCATGCCGCTCTGCGAGGACGTCGTTGACATATATGAACCGTATGGGGAGCTCTGTTGTGAATAATCTCTCCCGTTTTGCCTTGACATGTTCATATGAGCATCCCCTGGTCGCTTGAAGGCTGACGATGACGGCTCGAGCCCGTTGCGTCCGGTAGATTGACCCTGCCCACTTGCCTGAGCGCGTTGCTGCAACAGTAATTGTTGCGTATCGAGATTGGGTAGTGGAGTTGTATTGGAAGCATCTGAAAACAAACAACGCTTGCCACGAATAATATTGATCTCCTCATCCAAAACCCTCTCATCAGGCGTCATAGCCACCCATGCCTTGATACGAATGGCAAGCTGAAAGATGGATGTTGCGGCTCTGGCTAGCTCAAACACCACTTCATCTGAGGGTGGTCCCATACCAAACTGTGGAAAGTCATCGTCATCCTCCTCAGCATCATCGACCTCAATGTCATTATCACCATTCATATTATGCTTCATAGGCCCGTATGTTGAATGCTGTGGTGCTCCGTTGACGGTCTTGGGGTTGGCTTCACTCGAGGTAGCAGTTGAGGATGAAGAAGTTTGTAGACCAGTCAACATGGTAGAATTGAGATTACGGATCATTTGCGAAATATCGCGCTGGCGAGGATCTTGCCCGTGCTCTGGCTCATCGTGATGTTCCTTCATCTCTTCTGGATCTTGGCTTGCATAGTGGAGAGCGAATCTGCAGAGCAGGTCGCAAATCTCGATCGCAGACTTGAGATCCACAGTTGTAGGCATATCTGTGCCAAACTTGTGATGCATGTCACCTGAATCCGATGCAGAAGGATCCAACCGAGTCTTGGTACTACTTGCGTCGCTCACATATCCATTTCTGTCATCTTCATCTTCTTGATGATTGCCACGACTGAATTTCTCAAGTTGGGGAAGATGCATAGTCTTCTGGCCTTTAGGACCAGAATGTCGCTCAGAATCAGTGCCTTGTCTGATTTGAGAAGGAGGAGAGCCACCTTGTTGATGACGTGACAAAGGGGATGGCGATGGTACAAGGGACAAATGAGGATTTTGTGGCGGATGTTGTGGAGAGCGACGGGGATTGGAGATATGTTGAGCATCAGCTGATACATCCTGATGCTGCGGTGGAGGGTACGAAGAATTCCGCTGAGGTTGAGAAAATGAATCGGAACGTGTGGATGGATGCAGATCACCATGATTATCAGTCTCGATAGTGTCATTGTATCTATAAGAATGCTCAGGTCCTGAAGTATAATGCGACGACATATTGCGCGGTTGCTGAGAGCCAAAATGAGTAGAGAACTCCTCGCCAGTGGACGCACTCGTGGCCATATGCGAGGCCGTGGGATGAGATGAATGTCGCGCCTGCGATGGAATGTTTCGCATGGACATAGAGCTGGCTTGTGAGTGTTGATATGACGATTGGGCGTGATCTTCTGTGGTATCTACAGATGCTGTGCTGGAAAAAGTACGATCGCGCAATCCAGCCATGTCACTAGGATGGCGATTGTGGGCAAGAGAGCTGTCTAATGGTGGCTCGGCTGCAAGTTGGCAGCCCGGATAGTGTGGCAGCGATTCGTGCGAATGCCTCGGGTGTGGGCGTGCATACGGTTGAGAGTCTATGGACGGTTGCGAGGATGGATAGGATGAAGGGCTGCGACCATCGTTGCTCCTCTGACTGTTAGGTGCATGTTCATTTTGATAATCCTCATGCCTACTTTCATTAATGCCTTGTGAGCGAGTGTCTGATTGCCAATTATCTCTGCTATGATCGTACGAGGGCTCATTCCAATGAGATACATCATGGCGGCGCCCATCATGACTGTGGCTCCTGTCCTGCAAACGTGGACGACTTTGGCCAAAGTTCGGAGGAGGGCTTGACCGGGAGTTATGGTTGGGTTCAAGGTATCTGCCTCGACTCTCAGGAATAGATCGTCCTCCTTGATTGCCCTCATATCTGTTATCGTAGTCTCTAGGTGCATTGTAATGGTTTGGATGCCATGAAGGATCATCATAGGTTCCTCGATCAAAGACAACGGGCCTTGCCAGAGGATTAGTTGAGTGGGAGGGGAATGTGGAGGGCAAAATGACGTTATCTTGAGTCGAATATGCTCTAGGCCATGGATCGATAGTTATAATGGAGTCGTCTTGAGAGGAAGAATAATGACGATTACTCCATGGCCGTCGAGCGGCTTCAAAACGGTCTAAATCTCGATGGCGCTGATTCGGGTGTTGCGGTTGAGCATAGTGACGCGAGGTTATGAGTGCTGTATTATGGACTGGGGAGACGGCGATGTTATTGGCACTACTGCTCTGACCTGGAGTTCTGGGAGAAGAATGGAATGTGGAACTAGTGACGGAGGCAGGGGTGGTCGATGGTGATGGTGAAGGATGATGCAATTGATGATGAGTATTGGAGTGCACGTTTTCTGGATGAAAGTGAGAGTGAGAATGAGAATGAAGGCTGTGAGTTTCTTTTTGGGTATTCTCAGCAGGAGCGCCAGGGGAAAATGGTGGCGCGGAATGATTGTGTGTTCTTCGATAGATAGCTGGAGGATATCCTTGTTGTTGATCCATTATAACTCTAGGCGAGCAGGCTGCTTCCACAACACACCATGAGCTCTAGAGAGTTGAAAGTGTGCAAAGAAAAAATAAAATAAAATAAAGTAAAAAAAAAAAAAAACAGGGTTAGGAGTCATTTAATGTAAAATTCGTATATTCACAACGCAGACACCCTTTTTTTTTTGGCTTCAACACATACAAGGCACTTAAGATAATGGTATACTGTTCTTTCTTTTTTTGATTCAAAAAGAGGAAAGTGGAATTAGACACAACGAAGAAGGAGGGAAAATAATGAAAAGAAAAGGGAGAATAAAAAAAAAAAAAAAAAAAAAAAAAAAAAGGTATAGATGGATGGATGAATGAATGAATGGGAATGAACAAATGAATGAAGTAATGAATCAAGTGAGATTATTAGAGATATGGATAGATTGTCTATTAGGATGTCCCAGGATGATAACGAAAAGAGTGAAAGAGGAATAAGAAAAAGAAAGAAAAAAAAAAAAAGAGAGAGAGAGAGAGAGAGAGAGAGAGAGAAGGAGAGAATGAGGTAAATAGGAATGGGATGCGTGTTAGTAGAAGAATATAGGAGTGAGAGCGGATCAAGGTGTGACAGTCTCCACAAGAGTAAGAGTGTACGAATGGGATTAAGAGAAACACAGATGCACCTTGGGAGGGTCGAAAAGAGGAAAGAGGAGAGAAGTGGAGAAGAGAAGAGGCAAGAAGGACGTTTGAAAAAGGGGAAAGTAATGAGGTCTGACAGAAAGTTTGTCGGGGCGGTGCAAAAGTACCAAAACGCAAAAAAAAAAAAAAAAAGAAAAGAAAAAAAAAAAAGAAAAAAAAAGCGAAAGGAAAAAAAAAAAAAAAAAAAAGTATAGGAATGATGAAATGACTGAATTGGAGTGAATAGTAAACCTTATTCTATGTACAGTATATGATAATAGAGGGCAGACAGAGTTGCAGTCTTTTCAAGAAAATAAGGAATGGACGAAAGCCGTTAATTTTGATGAGATGTCTTTGTTGATATTAAAAAGAACTATGGGAACCGTAAATATGAGAGGATGTGAGAATGTTCAGTTGAATGCAGGCGAATGTGGGATGCAAGTGATAAAAAATAAATAAAATAAAATAAAATAAAATAAATAAAAAAAACGCAGGGGAGGGGTGAAAGAGTATGAAGAGTAAAAAAGACAAAAGAGAGGATGGAATGGATGATATGGATGAATGTTTGGATGTGTGTTTTTGTTTGTAAAAAAGGTTGTATGGATACAGCGACAAGGGGTGGAGAGGAGCAATGGTATAAAAATGTACACCTGTGTTGGTAAACTTGTTTGAAAACATTCAAAAAGACATTTTAGTGTGGACAAATAACAAAATCCCGATCCCCTTATGAGATCTCAGATCGGGAGCGTGGAGATCTAGCCCAATGAGACAAGTCATCATTATGCAACCTGAGCAAAAAAAAAATAAAAAATTTTTGTGACTAAGTTACAAAGAGAATAAATAAATAATACAAACGCATAAAGTTGTAAAATATATTTAACATTTCGTATATCACTCCCTGTGCAGTATATACTGTACTCACTTCTTTTTACATATAATATATAATAAAAGTCTCTTTTCTTTCCTTTTAATCTATTTTAGCCTTTTTCCTTTTTCTTTCTCTTTGAGTGCATATAATTATGTACTCTATTATTATTCTCAAATGGTTATTTTAGGGGAAGCAACTGGACCTAAATAAAATAAAGTAGGAGAGAATCAAGCACCGGTAGTCGGATCGTCTGTGGTCCGTTGTCTGGGATTTAAAACACCCATCCAACTACAACCAAAAAGTCGCAAAAGAACCAACTTTACAGTCAGCAACTTTCATTCTGAAGCAAACAAACCGTTATTGTAAACAACAAAGCAACAGAACAACATCAACACCAACAACAACAGATCTCCCAACGATGCAAGGGCCTAGATGCACAGGATGTACATAAAAATAATTGTAAAAAAAAAAAAAAAAAAAAAAAAAAAATCCCCACATTATTGAATGTGTTCTCAATAAATCTATACAAAGATACAATGCCACGATAGGCATTAAAAAACAATATTACAAATCAGAAAGAATCTCAGGAGTAACCTATACCACCAATGAATTATAAAGACTGTCTGTCGATCCTCCCTTTGAGTCTATTTTTTTTTTTTATTTTTTTTTTTTATTTTTCCTTAACCTGCCTTTTCCTTTCACGTGTGCAATACTTTTGGTCTCACACTAACTTTTATTTTCACCTCCGAGTATTCATCATGTTACTCCATCTCTCTTTAAGATAACCTTTTCAGACTTCATAAATGTGGCATTCGTATACAGGAGTTAGGACTTCTGACCCTTTGACATTGAGAAAGTATTGAGAAAGGTAATAGCAGCGGTAATATGGTAAAAATTTGGATCCACAAAGACAAATTGGATAAATTGCCAGATGACGACCTAAGATGGTAAAAAAAGGGCCTTTTTTATTTTTTTCTTTTTCTCCTTTTTCGTTTTTCCAATTTTTTGGTCTACCTACAACATCGTAATGTTTATATGGCGTGTACAGTAATGTAAATGTACATTATATATATCTATTTACGTTTGAGGAAAAAAAAAAAGGTTTTCCTTCGCCTCTCCCATATCCTGGCCTGAAATCGGAAAATGTAAACAACAGGCTCAAGATCGAGATCCGATGTGTCATTCATAAATTTAAAAAGTAAAATTAAAGATGGACGGAAAAAACAAGGTTGCCGCTGCTTAGGACAATGGGGCGAGGGGGGGAAAGGAGAAGGAGGGAAAAGAAAAGAGCGGAATTGAGGGAAATACAGTAAACTGTGGTCGATGAACGAGCACAAAAAATATAAAATAGAGTGAAAAAAAATAATAAAAAAAATCAAGGAGCCATTTTACCCTATCGAGTTGTTAGTGATTTTTTTTTTTTCTTTTCTTTTCTTTTTATTTTTATGGCATGACCCTATTGTTTATTGGAGCTTATTGTATCTCACCTACGCTGCATGTCAATCCTCCGCTTCTATGGGAGAATGGGAAGGAAAGGAGAAAGTAACCAAAGTGAATAGGAGAGAATGCCGTTAGTAAACTTTACTAAGTGCTAAAAACCAAGCATGTTTCCTTCAATTCAACCGTCAATACAAATAAAGCAAGGCAAAAGAAAAAGAAAAAAGTATTGTAAACGATACACTGAAAATAAGGACATTATATATATATATATATTTATAATATCCATCCACACACGGGAGAATAGGATTGTATAAAAATATAATTATACATTTACAGCATGCCCAATAAACAAAAAGTTTATTTATTGGATGTTTATACTTAAAAAAGACAAGAGGCACTGCTGGTTGGTTAATTGGGGTCAGTACGACTCAGGTGCCTACTTTGTATAAAAACATTGTAGCTGCTTCGAAAAGTATCAGAAGAGTTCGATACATTGAAAGAAGACGCGTGAGTTGTGACAAAACTAAAGTTAATCTTCATCGATTGATCCTCATGGGGCAGAAAAACCATGATGGTGGATATAAACATTATGGACATTTGGTGTTCTAGGATTAGTGTTTTCGAAAGTACTTGGATAACTGCGGCTCTCTTTTTTCTCTCTTCAAAATAAACATCAAAGTCTAGATTTGGCGGGTAGGTGCAGATGAATCAGAGGGCGATATACATGAATATTTGTAGCTGTAGTCTAAGAGCAAAGACTGAAAGGTGGTAGGAAGGGAAGAAACCATCATCGGTAAAAATCTATTCATCCGTACCATCGCTCTCACGTAAACGAGGAAAAAAAAAAAAAAAAAAAAAAAAAAAAACTTTTACAGCGTTATTTACGCCATGAGCAGTAACTATAGAGATTATAGAATAATGAAATGAATTACATGGTTTATGGTAAACACATTTCCATACTTTTCTCTCCTTCATACTCCCATGAACATCATGAACCCTTGCTGAGATTGGAGAAAAAAAGATAAAATAAAACAGAGTACAAACCCAGAGCAAAGAAAACAATGACGTTCTTGCTAGGAATATAAAAATGGCTTGAAGTAACAGTAATGATAAAAACAATTGAAGAAGGAAGGCCCTTATGGAAGACCTTTTTGCTTCATGTTTTTACGAATAAAGATAAAAATAAAAAAACAATAAAAAAAGCAATAATAACACCAATAAAAGAAGTTTTCAGATGCCTAGAATGAGTTACGCCCCAGATGCTTTTCAATCGTTTCGGCAACATTGTTTTTTTTGTCCACCCATCAATTGTGTTTTTCCATCTTCCTCCATACAGGAAAAAAAAAAAAAAAAAAAAAAAAAAAAAATTGTTTTGAGGAACTAAGTATAGCAATATAAACACTAACATATATGATATTGAGCCATTTTAGCCGCAGATAAGAACTAGAACAGAGTAACAATTATAAAGGGCAAAGGAGTAAGAAAGGTTCGGGCAGAAAAGTTGAGCGGATCAAAAATGTATTGGCTGTAATGAACAGCACAAAGAGTCTTTTAGTGATTTCCAGTCGAACTACATTATATGTCTATAGTATAGACATACCATAAAATATATATACTGCATTCGGCTACCACTATCCAAGAACTACTTGAAAGGATGAGGAAAATGAGTTCATGAGTCCCTGTTGTTGTTGTTTTGCCGAGCCTTGAGCCACATGACCTTTTTGCTTTTCTTTTTATTTATTTAGTTTGTTGTAGCATCCTTTTCTGAGCAAGTCTTCCGCGTCGTCGCAGATCGCGGCCTTTTTTTTTTTTTTTTTTTTTTTTTTTTTGTTGTTGTTGTTTCTGAGAACGAACCATTAGGATTTGGGAAAATATAAAAACGAATATGATAAAAAAAGATTGAATCAATGCTGCGTTAAAGTCTGTAAAACACGTAATGCAGCTTCTACAGTTCATGTGTGTCGCATTTCTCCATAAATATCTTTTTTTCCTAAAGTCAGACGTACACACACGCATACGTATACGCACACAAAAAAGCAAAACAAAAAATAAAAGCAAGAGCTGTTTTTGGTATAGTTATTGATATTGTTATATGTATAAAAGAAGTGCATATCCCAACGCAAGAACTCGGCGGTTGTGAGCAAGGTCTTTTTTTTCCTTTCACTTTTTTTTTTTTTTTTTTTTTTTTCTTTTCTCTTTGCTCATAGTGAATAAGTGACAATATTAATCTGTCCAATATGATAAAATAGATATGCGGGTTACTGCCGAAAATATCATCACTCCGTTTATTTTTCCTCTATTCTGTTTCAACATCCATCTTTGGGCTTGGACTTGAAAAGAACTAAAAAAAAAAAAAAAAAAAAGAATTGCAAGTCGTCATTGGAGTCGGAAAAGACTTTGGCCCGGGGCTGGAGCTTGTTGAAGTTTTTACTATTATTATTATTTGTTTACCGTAATACTAGGCTTACTGCATCATATTTGCAGCTTTGTATAAGCGATGGTCGTGTTCATTCTAATGTTTATGGAATATAACGATACATCAATATGCATAAACAAATGCTCCAAAACAATGAAGGAGACAGGAGCAAGGTCAGGGACAAAGACAGGGACAGGAACAGGGATAGAGGCCCGACCATTGGCAGAGATAGAGTGATACTCGCTCACGACCAGAAAGTACGAAGCAGGAGAAAATACAAGCTTTATCTTGTCTCTGTCTTTGAATCACCGTCTTTTTTTTTTTTTTTTTTTTTTTTAGTATAAAGGATACAAGTGCCACGAAGTATGAGTAGAGTAAAAAAATAAAATAAAAAAAATAAAAAAAATAAAAAAAAGGGTGAGGGAAAGTGAGCTACTCCAGACTATCCCAATCCTTCCAAACCAGGAGACATATAAACATCTGTGGCAAAATGAACAAAAAAGGGGATTGTCGTTCCAGCTACCGCCAAACACAACTACGTATAGATAGCTTTTTGTATTTTAACGGAGAAAATGTCTAAACTATGTGGTCCTCCCCCCTCCTTCTATATATCTTGCCTTATTCTAGGACAAATCGAAACGAGCTACAATGTGCTCCCTTCATGTCGTATCCTGTCATGTCGTAGTATGTATAGATGCAAAATGGTTGCATATTGTAGATGATTAATGTTCTTTCTCTGCTTCTCCTTGTTCTTTTCCTTCACTTTTACTTTAATCTTTATGCAAAAGCCATGTCCTGAATAGATCTCAGCAGCATCGAAGATTACAGAGCTTCACCACAGCCTCACTACATCAGACAGAAATCACCATCGGTCTGTATACCAAATATCGCTTTCCTCTCTTTATAACCCAAAGAAACAGAAATGGGTAGCTTAAACATGTCTGAAACCTCAGGTCTCTCACCAGTTTCCACAGTTTCATTGACTGCTCCCACCTCTACATATACATATTGCACCTTAACCAAAGTATCGACATCAGCTACCGCTACCGCCATCTTTGAGGGTTTAAATAACGTGCAGTTCGAGGATTTTGGTATGTCATTTCAATGAATAGTTATCTTTTTTGAAAGACGAGCTTGGAGTTTAAAAAAAAAAAAAAAAAAAAAAAAAAGCCTTTTCATTTCATTTACATATTCTATTGTTTCATAAATCCAACCAAAACAAAAAATGATGGCCAATCGGCTAAAGCAGCTCAGACACCTATTGCTGAGGAAACCATTGAGACTACAGAGAAAACAGAGCCTCAACTAGCGGCAAACACGAGAGCAGAATGTAAAGATGCTCATCTGGACGTATTGCAGATCATAAAAAGAACAACAAGGGAAGAGCATTCGGTTAGTGAGCTGAATGTGTGTAGCAAGCATCAAGCCAAGAATCAAGGCCAGAATGATGTTTTTAACGGACCAAGCCTTTTTAGATTAGCTGATTATGAGACACAGGCGCCTATCAATGCAGTGACATCGTCAGTTCAACCGGACCTATCATCAGTGCAACCGGACCTATCATCAGTGCAACCGGACCTATCATCAGTGCAAGCCATTGAGGCAACTAAGGACTCTTTGGCTACCAGCATGCAAGTAGCAGTAACAGGACGAACGTTGATGTTTCAGCAGCAACATCTATACTTTACTGAACGCTCTATTCCAAGAGAGAGGCAAGGAGAAGAAAAGGTCAACACTGTTGTATGGAAGCAACCCACACCATTTATGAAAAGACCAGCAGTCGATGACGGTTTAACGAACGATGGCCATTTTGTTAATCATGACTCTGTCGCTCCAGGCATGCAACCCAGAAGTCGACGAAAGTGTCAACCTTCCACAATCACTAGTGAACCTGGTATTTTCAGTGATGGGACTGATATTATTCAAGGAGACAACGTAGTATATCCAGTGTACAATCCAAAGATAGTGAAACTTCTGTCCCGGGAAGACGCAACTGAAACAGTCGTTAGGAGTGCAATCCAGTATCTGATTAAGGACAAAGACATGACACTCTCTTATACTTCAGTCCTCTCCGTGATCGATATCTTGGGCAGAAACGATCGAGATCAGCCTGGCGGGGTTATTCCTCCAACGTTTTCAGCAAAGTTAAAGTCAGAGTCAAACTCAACAATCAACTTATTTTCTCGGCAAAAAAATATGAAAGTTAAGCTCAGCAGACTACTTTCCAAACTGTTGAGGATCATAACCCAACCGGAGATTTCAGAGGAACTAGTTCGTGAAATAGTGCGACAGAATGTGATCTCAGCAGGAGCACTTTACCTTCAGCTCTACAGGACTATTCAAGATGCTGGATATAGTCTTCAGGTATTAAAATTGGACATTCATTGACTAAATTGAGTAAATTGAGCCTTTTTTTTTTTTTTTTTTTTTTTTTTTTTTTCTTTTGCTATAGCTGGTTGACTCATATTATGTACTTTTATTATTTTGTCATAAAGGATCAAGATCACCTCCGGATTTGTCTGTTCCTTGTCGGTCATCACATGACTGAAGACGCGTTACCATGTCTTAACAGTATTGACACTGCAAGATGGACCGGTAAGGTGTATCGCGCTGCTATATTGTGCCACCTTTTCTCAAAACCACGGCAATTACATCAAGCGGAATTTAAACTGAAGGAATATCTGGAGTATGTCGAAACGCCATTATTGTCTAACAGGAACAAATTGAATTTCAGTTTCATGTCACTTCAAAATGATCGAAACCGCAAAAACGTCAATAGAACCATGATCAGGGAATGGTTCGAGCTCCAATTGGACGCGTCAAGGTGGGAGGAGGTGAAAGCACTGTATGAGCGACGACGTGATAGGCTCTTGGAGGCTCCTAACAAAATTGAAAGGTTTGCTGCATACATCTCAACGATCATGGTTCGAAATGATGGTCCCTGTCTGAGGCATCCAAATAACAGTCGGCGTGCCTCGACAGGTTCCTATGTAAGCGCTTCTTCATCCCTATCCACAGGAACTATCACATCATCAAACTCCGCAACTCTTCCAAAAGTAATCAAGCCGAAAGAATCCTCTTTCCTAGGAGCGTGGAAGCCATCCTCTGTTTTCTCAGCATTCACTCTCTCTAGCAGCAATCCAGCAATCTGCAGCTGCTCCCCCCTCAACCCCGACTACAGCATTAATGCAATCCATACAACTGATAGTAGACCGATAGTGAACGCTTCATTGAATCTCGCTCTCCAGTCGAAATCGCCAGCCAAGGTTCGGATTAACAGTCAACTTATAGCACTCTATAATGACATGCTTGAAGAATGTGTCAATCATAAGCAATTTGAGTACGGTTGGCGGCAAGTATATGAGCGCATGGGACCACATCTAGAAAATAAGCGCACATCAAAAATCGCAATGACGTTATGCAAGCGCGCTTTCTTGGGTCATAGTGGCCATAGCCCTGACCAGCCCGGTTCGCCCAATATGTCAACTACGCACACATGTTTTGAAGACGAACTCAACTCGTTTGACCATATCGACGAACAGTATGATGGTGGCGAAGGTGAAGGGGTCGGCAATGGCGAGGAAAACCACGATAGCTGGGGTGACTCTTTAGAAGCTTTCAGACAGAAGTGTAGTGATGGGGTCTGTACAAGGACGAAGCGAGAGGATGCTGAGATCTGGGAGGCCCGCGCATGGGTGATCTACAACAGGGTTATGGCCAATCCTTCCGCTTCTATCATTCAGAACAATAACTCATCTTCCGGATCTCCCCTATTCTCTACTCCCGCTCAGCAACCCTTGGTTTCTACTCAAGGCCTAGACACGGCTAGTGTTGATGGTACTGGAAACAAGCACTGGGTGACACCATCTATTCCATCACAGTACTTAGCCACTGCCATGACGGGCACAACATCATTGGCAATCATTTTGCAAAGTATTTTGACAATCGCCATCAACTCTCCAGAAAGATCATCCCGGTTGCTGAAAGCGATCAAGGTCTACAGCGCCATGAGGGACGATCCCTTGCAGCGATATCAGGTGGAGCTGCGAGATCCATTTGTGATGACTTGTATGATCAAGGTTATTTATGACACAGTCATGACTATAGTGAAGGGGCAACACCAGCAACATCACTGCATGGAAGCAGGGGCCAACATTGGCCAAACTCAACAGCAGTCAGCAATGGCGTTTGGGCCATTGATCGATCTGGCCTTCGAGATCTATGCCGATATGAGAAGCGTTTACTCCATTCGTCCCTTGGCGCAACTAACCTCGCTAACACCACCACTCTTATTAAAAACACCAAATAATCAGAGTCGTACTTGTGGTCAGGGCACTGGCCACAGTGATAAGGCAAACAAATTGACAATTAGCAATACCATGTCATTGTTCTTCCAGCTTTCGAACCGCCCTCCTCCTGCACCATTGTCTGCAGTTGACTTGTCAGCAGGGGGTGCATTGACATCTCTACGGTTTATCAGCCCTCGTTTGGCATCAAGTACTATTGCTGGCTGGCCAGTTGTTGATACAGAAAACGGTGGAGAAACGTGCCAAAGTACGGATACAGATGTTGTTGGAGCTACTCCTTGTATTTTACAAGAGCTTAATCCGTCACTTGTTCCCAATCCATACGCCCGTCGACTCCCCAGCGAACTCTACCTTGCTCTCCTTCATCTCTGTAACCAAGTCCCCATATCAGGTTTACGTCAGTCGATTACGGTTGTGAAGACGATTGTGGCAGATATGATGATGGCCAAATCGGGACAACAACCTGCGAACCTAGATCGCCACCTGGCTGCAGCGCTACAGTTTTATCATGATCAATGGATGTGTCGGCCACAGGAGCTCAAAGGTCGCAGGTCAGCATCGCCTGAAGCATACGGTCGTCATGATAGCACTAACGATAATGAGGAAAGCTTTATGCCAGGAGTGAGTTATCGCGGTAGAGATCGTCGATGTTGCCTGGAGGGTGTGGAAGAAAGTCAAGGATGTAAATATCATGGGTGGATGTATCGTCCAGAGGAGTATGTGCTTGAGCATATGAAAGCATCGAGTTCATCCTCATCATTATTCAGAAGGGAGTCGGTATATGATCTGTCAGACCCTATCAGTATGAACATTAACTTGGCATCCACGTCAGAGCCGGAATTGAGAGCAAGGGGGAGAAGGAGTGGTAGTAATGTGAATACATATAACTCTTTCAATGGGACATCCTTTCAGAGTGATACTGGTGGTCAGAGTGAAGACTCACAAGAAGAAGAGGATGAACAACAATATAAACATCAAGTGGAAGAGGACAAAGAGAGAGAAGATTCATATTACAGTATCTCGAAGAACGATGCTGATCTTGATGAATTAGATCAATATCTTGAAGCAAGGGCAGCATATACTCCTTCATCATCATCATCATCATCATCTGCATCTGCATCCGCGTCCGCAGTGCCTAACTCAAAAGGGAGGACGAACGGTTTTGATGAGACAAGATCTCATTGGACGGAAGATCGCATTGATCACGATACGTGTAATGATCGACTCTACTGGGATCTGTGGAGTCATCAAGATCCAGTGCTGTATCGGATAAAGTTTTCAAGACGTCGGGCACGGGCACTTTGGCGACACATTGCCAATTTGATGTAAAAAAACAAAGAAAGACATGGCATGTTTAATAAATCCAACACAATAGATGTTTTGTTTTTTTTTATTTTTTTTTTATTTTTTATTAATGTTGATACTTTATTTGATATTAATATGCTACTGTTACAAATATTTTGGTTATTGTCCTTTTTCTCGAATTTTTCCTTAATCTGATGTTTTTTTTTTTTTTTTTTTTTTTTTTTTTTTTTTCCTTGCCCTCACTCATGTAGAGTTCATTCTTGACAGAATAAAATAAACGATGAAAAAGATGATAACGATTGCGCTGACCATGAAACACATACTCTTGCCCAACTGTTGGGATGCCATCGTGTTGAGTTTCTTCATGGTACCTGCAAACGTTGTTCCAAAATTATTAAACGAATTTGTCTTTTTTTTTTTTTTTAAATAAAATAAAATAAAAAGAAAAATGTTACCATGTTGTTAAAATAGAGAAATATCGAATTTTCCAATTAGGGTTTTTGGTCACACGAAATAACACGTTATTTATAAGTTACATTTTGATCTAATATCGCATGTTGTCCATGAACCTCATTATGAATATCAACAGTGATCTACAAATGATGAAGTAAAAAAAAAAAAAAAGAAAAGGGCTTAAGCTCAATGTGCACTATACACCATGAAATAAATACATTTATATAAAAAAAAAGAAAAAAAAAAAAGAAAACAGAATACTTTTCAAAAATGTACCTTGTTCAAAGCAGACACCTTTGAGGCAAGTTCTTCCATCCGGAGATCATTTTGTTGCTCAAAAAGTAATGCAGTCTGCTGTTCTCGATTATAACTATTACTATGACTGGAAGGTGATCCAAAGAGCTCAGCTCGTGTTTGATGGTTGTTTTTCCTGTAGGAAGAGAGAAGAGAGATAGAGAGAGATAGAGAGAGAGGAAAGAGAGACAGAGAGGAAGAGGAGAAACAAGTTTAATGAATGAATGAATGAAAAGTAGTGTGCTCTTCATAGCATCAGGTTTTTATTATTGTTGGTAATCAATTAAAAAGACTTGCCACATGGTAGGTTTTGTGTTAATAATGATTATAGGTCTGAATGAGGTTTTTTTATAATGTGATGAGAGTAAGATGAATGTCGAAATGTCTAAAGTGTATGTGTCTGAGTGTGTAACTTGATAAAGATGAATGAGCAGGAAAGAGAGAAACATGGCTTGGCGTTTTTATTTCTTTTAGTACCGAGGGCCGACAACACCATTAAACCGACTCTTCTTCTCCTTCCTTTCAGTGAAGTAAAATCTCGGCTGCTAAAGAAAAAAAAAAAAAAAAAAAAAACGTATTGACCAAGATCTTTTTTATTATTATTATTATTATTATTACTATTACTATTATTGTTCGTCTATTCCTCAGGGACAATGTTCCAAGCGCTACCAGATGCTGGGATCACACGAATGATGGGCCCAAAAGTTTCGTGTTTGCACACCTAATTTAATTTGACAGAGTAACAAAATGTATTTTAGGACCTTTGGAGAAACCTAAGCATTTGATCCATGCAAACAAAGTTAAAACAAAAGACTATTTTTTTTTTTATTTTTTTTTTTATTTTTTTTTTTTAACGAACCATTGCACGCACAATCTCGATCAGCTTTCCAGGGGCGATCATCGACCCAAGAGATAAGTGGTCCGATCCATAGAGGTGTACCCAGAGCAATGAACCATCTTGCTCAGCCCTGCACGCAAATCTATAAGCCATATCTTATTGACATAATCATAAGAAAGAATAAAAATAAAACACACGCATTATATAAACCATGAGGGGGCGTAAAAGCCTGTTTGATTTTTTTTTTTTTTTTTTTTTTTTTTTTTTTTTTCACTGTTTTTGTACTCCTCTCTCTTCCCCTTGCCCTTGCCCTTGCCCTTACACTTCCTCTTTGCTTCTACCAAGCTCACCTTGAATTTCATCCTCGCAAGGAATATCTCCAATGACATGAGTAATTCTGGCACGAAAAGAAATACAGGCGTTGTTTCCGACGCGTCTCAATCGAAGCAATTGGTTGAAAAACTACTTTCCAAAAGTTACAACATTGGTAAATCAGTATGAAAGGGAAAGAAGGGGGGAAAAAAAGTTTCTTTTTGTGAAAAAAAGGAAGAAGCATGGTGGTACATTCATTTATATATATTTCATTTCTTTCATCGTATTTGTTACTAACCGATGGTAGGTCGATCATTGCTGAAAGAAAAGCGTGGTACAGAGAAATTGGTGGTAGTACTGTATAGGTGGTCTGCTTTTCACGATCATAAAGTAAAAGGAAAAAAAAAAAAAAAAAAAAAAAAAAAAAAAAAAGAGAGAGAAGAGGGGAGGTAAAAGAGGTATCTTTCAATATCCTAAATATTGCTTTTTTTTTTTTTTTTTTTTTTTTTTTTTATATATAGTCATTCCTCTCGGTAGCAAATTTACGAAAAGCATTTGGATACGGAAAGCCTTTTTTTGTTATTAATATTGTGCAAATGCTTTTACGGCTTTATTGATTACTCTTGTGGTTACAGACCCGTATGTTACAGAGAAGGGGGAAAAAATAAAAAAAAATAAAAAAAGGCATGTATGCAGTCAACAGTAAGCGCGCAAATGAATCATATGAACCGATGGTTTGGTAGGCAGGTAAGAGGGATAGGTAAAATAAAAGAAAAGAAAAAAAAAAATCTCGTATTCACCAGGTGTCATCACGATCATCAGATGCAACTGCGAGATCGATCGTAGGATCGACTATCCATTTTGACTTGGAATAATCCTCAGCATAAATGCACGCGTATCCATCTCGGTAATCCCACTGTCAGATAAGAAAAAAAAAAAAAAAAAGTTTTTGAATACTTTGTTATTCATTAAAGATATATATATATATATAAAGAAAGAGACAAAGCAGGCTATGTATAAATAGCATAGCATTTATATCTGCATATATTTTACCTTCGCATTCATGATAAGGATCTTGCTTCCAGTAATAAGCTTGGGCATGGATTCTTCAGTCGCTGTTATGATACAGACCCTCTTCTCGATATCAGTACAAACATCCTTAAGGGTGAAAACCATCTGCCATGTTAAGCCTAATTGTGGCAGAAAAGGATCTACGGGGCGAACAACCTCTCCGAAAACATTCAATCCACTAAGCTTTGGTACGTTGTCGATCAGTCGAGTGAAAGGGACGATTTCGATCGGATCAGGCTTCCATCTCGATAGATTTAGATTGGAGATAAGTTGTATCAAATAAGCCGTCATGTATTAAATGCGGTAATGAGGAGAGGAAGAAGTAGAAGATGAGGGAAGAGAAGGAAAGAGGAAGGAAAGATAAGTTTGGACGAAAGGAAGAAAAATCCTGTAAAGAAAGAATAAAGACTAGCGTGGAAGGAAGAAGGAAGAAAAAAAAAAAAAAAAAAAAAAAAGGCTTTATATCTATGCACACACACATATTTATCTTTATATTAAAGGAATAGCCTCGATCCCTACAACCATTCATGTGGATGACAAATTTGGTGGCAATGACAATTTGCTCCGCTGTGGTTTCCACAACGATGATCAACTGAGGATCGTTTGATCTTTTTTATCAGCCACGTGTTCCCTAGGGTTTAAAAAAATTTAACTTCTTAAAGTCCAACGACTCAAAACGTCCCTTGGGCTTTAGCGCCCCCCCCCCCCCCCGCTGCCCATTATTCTTCCCGTCATGTATATTTTAAAGAAGGAGAAAAAAAAAAAAAAAAAAAAAAAAGTGGCAAGTGGCACAGTAGAATGTAGACGTATAGGCTATTGGTGAGCTCAGGGAAGGGGAAGAGCGTCATTGAAATGTTGAGCTTTTGTGCTAAACCAACTTACGCGAGCGGAGCAGTCTTTGAATGCGATAATATCACCGGTTTCCAAACCAGGTAAACAGCAGCACCACTTAATATTACAAGTAACGTTCTTTGAGTAATGCCTGTTTGCATTGCTTTATAGTAAAGTGAATACCTTTTTCCTTTCTACTAAAAAGGGAAAAAAAAAAAAAAAAAAAAAAAAAAAAAAAGCATAGAATAGGATAGAATATATAAATAAATGCATTACTGTGGATGATCATACTATTATTGAGAAGAAGAAAAAAAAAAAGAAAAAAAGAAAAAGAGAAACTGTGGTCTATATTATAAAACAAAAGCACATGTAGATATGAGCCGTTCAACTCTCGTAGGGTGATTTGGAAGCTCGAAACGTAAATCATGGTTCGAAACTCGATGTAACTATGAGACTTCCTTACCTAGAGCGCATCCAGACCACGAAACATCTACATATATATATATATATATATATAAGAGTATTGATCCAAGTAAGTAAAAAAGCAAGATCAGCGCTTATTGTTATTTGGACGACTTCCCCTGCCCTTGTCAACATCCTTACACTCACACACATATTGAGAGAAGAAAAAAGCATAACAGTAACTGGAGTCTTTCTATTGTCCAGCTTTTATTATTGTTATTGTTATTATTTTTATTTTTGTTTAAAAATGGCTTCGAAGTAAAAGACAGAGTTTAAATGCAAAGGAAGATAGACTTGGGGGGGTAAAGGGAGTTTCATGCTTTCATCAATTGGACAAGCAGATGATCAAAGCTTTTATATGCCTTTTTTTTTTTTTCTTTCTTTCTTTTTTTTTTATAAAAGAAAAATAATTATCATCATAGCTTCATGGCAAAAAGAGGATGCCATAGCCAAAGGTGGAAAAAAAGAGCTTTTACTATTACCATTATTATATTTCATTTCATTTATCTTAGTATAGCACTAGGACGAAAATACAACTTGAATCCTATTTAAAAAAAAAAAAAAAAAAAAAAAAAAAAAACCATGTTCCTGAAGCCTTGGATTTTTTCTTTTGTTTGTTTACAATGCATCTTCATCCGAATAAATAGGACATATGCACCAAGCTGATCCTTCATCTGTGTGTGCAGCGATCACAGTGGGCTGGATCTTTTTTTTTTTTTTTTTTTTTTTTTTTTTTTATTCAAAAGAAAAGAGGATAATATCAGTCGTTTAATACCATGTGCTCAAAAAAAGAAAAAAAAAAAAAAAAAAAAAAAGCCAGCAAAAATAAATCGCAACATCTGATTTTATGTTCTTACTGATGCGTTCATGATAGTGATCTTGAATTGGGATTTGAGTGATGGTAAAAGGTTTACATCCTTGGCACGAAGTACGATGCACTTGTCAACATCCGTCTCCGGATCACGCATCAAGAATCGCATTTCAAAGACTTTTTTTTGTTGTTGCCGTTGTTGTTGTTATAGTTGTGTATATTTATTTTTTTTTTTTTAAAAAAAAAAAAAAAAAAAAAAAAAAAAAAAAAAAAAATTTAAAAAAGGGGGGTTAATATCCAGAGACTTGGTGGCATTATAATTATTAAAATCATTATTATTATTACTATATTTTTCGAAAAAGATAAAATAACAATAACTCTTTAGTATTACTTTGACCGCAATCGTCATAAATTGGCGAAGCATCTTCTAGGACGATACCCCTGACGTGGACGTTTTCTTGTGGAAGCATCACATTAGTCAAAGGAGTGAAAAACTATATAGTTTTTTAAAAATTAATAACAACAATAATAACAATAGTAATAGTAATTAGTAGTTTTCGACTCAACGGATCGCATAGTGAAAAGCAGTTAATCAGAAGAACATCGCTTGCACTCGCATTCTACCGCTATTACAGTTGAAGTGGTCCCCATTGTAAAAAGAAAATGGAAAAAAAAAAAAGAGGATTGTAGTGCGAAAGCAGCGTGAGTTATAATATACAAGAAGTTGAAGTATAGAAACAAACAAACAAACAGACAAAAAAAAAAAAAAAAAAAAAAAAGGTACGACGAAGGATAGAAGAAGATAATGAAACAAGGAAAGAAAAAAGAAAAGTAAATAAAAAAAAAAAAAAAAAAAAAAAAAAAAGGATCGAACATATTGTTCGATAGTTCATGCTTTTTATATCCTTCCTTTGTTTGTGTGTGTGTGTGTGTATGTATGTATGTTAATGGCTTTTTATTAAAATTGATGCCTTTGTTCTATATATGAATTTATGTGTTCTACTGCTTTTTTTTTTTTTTTTTTTTTTCTTTTCTTTTCTTTTACTTTTACTTTTACTTTTCCCCCTTCAGTTACAAGTATTCCTTGTTATGACTTCTTGAGAATCTTCTTCTTTGTTATTTCTCTTTCTTTTCTTTTCTTTTCTTTTCTTTTCTTTATTTTTTCCTATCAACTCATTAATATGTTATTTTGGGTTTAAAGTTTTCTTTTTTTTTTTTTTTTTTTTTGTGACATTTATCGTTAGACGCGTCTAATTGTTTACGCGTTTTGGTGGCGTACAACTCCTGCATAAAAGAAATGAAACACCGACAAGTTAGGGAAGGGGTGAACAAACAATAAACAACAACAACAACAACAACAACAACAAAAACCAACCCCCCTACACCCCGCTTTTATTCTGAATTGATCATCATGACTGATCTCCTTAATCGTTCCAATTCATTCAAAGGGACTTCTCAACCACATGACGATGACCATATTATTCATCAAGCTTCCAAATTCATTCAACTACTTGAATCTATTCATTACCCCTACGAGATCTCGGAACAGCAAGTGATTGACACATTCAAAAAGTGTTATAAACGCGAAGACAACAATAACATCCATGACAGCGTTTACAAAAAATCTTCTTTTTCTTCTTCCCTCTTCTCCTCCTCTATCCCTTCTATCTCTTCTACTTCTTCTTCTTCTATTCCTTCTACCTCTTCTACCTCCTCTACTTCCAACCCAACTGCAAAATTCTTGGATTGGCTTATCGAAAATGTTTCTGCAGAGACAAACTGGCCTGGATATCAAGCACAGCAACCAAAGTCTCGTGCTTTGTCACTTACGGTTGATGATCATAAGCATGAGTTTGGTCTAAATAATAATAATGACAGCCCCGATATTGACAATGACAATGACAGTGGCAATGATTTGGCAGATCATGATCCAGTTCTCGAGTCTTTGGATTATGAACATTCACAATTGCAGTATGTCTTTTTTTTTTTCCTCCTCTGATGTAAACCTTTTTTTTTTTTTTTTTTTTTTTTCCCTTTTCGCCAACTAATAGATTAAATATTTTTTAATTTCTAGATACACATTAGCATCTCTAGAAAGAGAACTTTCAGACTTGAAGGCACTTGAAGCCCATGCTACGGATACAAATCGCCTATTAGATATGGACATTCATGATGTATCTATCCAGTTTGATGCAACCGCAGCCAAGCTACAAGATACTGTTCGTTCTGTCGTGTCACAGTACGGTACTGTAAATAATGACCAAACTAAGACTACCCACATAGAGCAGGACCAGAGTCAGAGTCAGGGTCAGGGTCAGAGTCAAAGCCAGAGTCAGAATCAAGGTCAGGACAAAAAAGACGAAACATACCGCTCTGAAGGACTAACAAAAGATGCTTTTGATGTGAACAAACGTTCGTTTATATATCAGTGCCAGGATGAACTACTTCAATTACACCAAATGGACATGACGTTCCTTGACAAAATCAATACACTTCTTCATAACTACACCTCTAATTTCAGTATCAGCAACAGCACTGGCAGTAACAGCGCTGAAAGCAATATCAGCAGCAGCAACGATGTGGCCACCACCAATGCCACTAAAGATACATCCTATTTAGCCTGGCTTTTCAAACGCAATCCTGCACATGATCAGGAGGTAGTCCGTCTCTGTTCAACTTATCGTGCCACCAAGATGAGTCATATCCGAGCGATGGCTCAGCTCAAAGCACTTGAGGAAGAGCTACGATATATGAAGGAGCTAGAGTCTACACATTTACTGTCTAATGAAAACGGAAGAGAGGATAATATCAGCCCTCATTACAACCCATCGTCTTCTTCATCATCATCAACAGCAACAACATCATCTCATCACCATAATCTTAATCCTCATGAAAATGGTACAGATCAAGAAATTAATCATATCACAGACATCTATACCAGTGGTCGCCACGGTCCTCAATCACACACGATTGCCAGTTCCAGAAACCAAGAGATTCAACGGACACGACAACATGAGATCGAGTTGATTTCAGTTCAGCGTGAGACGACTCGATTAAAGGCAGAAATGGAACAACTTTTATCAGATCCCTCTTCGTCCTCAACCGCGTTCTCATCTTCAACATCATCATCATCCTCATCCTCATTGCCTTTTAGAATCTCTAGGACAAGCAGTAGCGGACGTAATTCTTTAGCATCAAGTCGTGGAGGAACAAAGCGCAATAGTATGGGGAGCAATAGTAACAGTACCGCAGCTCGTTATGATCATGAAAACGAGTCAGAGTCTGTGGACGGAGTGCTTGTCGATATTTGTGAACGCATTGCTCGGACAGACATTGAGCTTGAATACCTTTCGGCCGCTCATCGAGATTATCTTCAAGAACAGGAGCGGGCTCTCAAAGATCTTGACAAAATTGTTGATGGTTTATTGGAGTATTATTCTCTAGGGGTTATGGTGGACCTATCCTTGACAGTGGAGAACAAGACGGTTCAGACAATCAAAGATACTCTCAAGGCTGCTGTCAAGGAGCTTCAAGAACAACGAGAGCAGTCCCGAGAGCTACATCAATTGGTTGCTCATCAGACTTCTTCAAAAGAGGCACTATCACCGTTACTACAAAGTCCAAATATAACCACAGATAGTGAAAAGAACAAGAACAAGAACAACAACAATAACGATAAGTTGTCAGATTTGCTCAAAAAGAATGTTGAATTGACAGAACTTTTACAGAAAGAGAGGCAGACGATGCAAGATCATATCCATCAGATGATGAATACCAAGGATCTTTTGGACATTGAGCTCTTGCAACGACATTCCAGCACCAAGGAAATTCATTCTATTCCACAGTCCATTCATCTTCTCAAGGATGATCTGGTCAAGCGAGCACAACAGTTGCAACAGGACTATAAAACCTTGAATGATCAATTGCAGCAGATGACACAAAGGCAGCCATATACTTCTTTATGAATGAATATGAATTTATTACAGCTACGTCTTTTATATTCTTTTTTTTTTTTTTTTTTTTTTTTTTTTTTAATATAATTTGTTATAAATAATTCTACATGAAAATAAAAAATAAAAAAAGAAAGAAAGTTCAACCTCATCATGCTCGGAATACTGCTGCCTCATCCATACGGCTGCTTGTTCTATTTGCTTGACCCTCAGAGTCGCTGCCACTACAACTAGTAGTGCTCTCCTCAGTATTATTCATATTATGACTAGTATGGCTGTTTTTATGAAGCTGTTTCCTCTTTCTTCTCATATACCTGCGTCTTCGTTGGAAGGGTCCCCAAATACATCCGACCACGACCAACCGACCTGCCTCGAACAACAAGAAGCCGATCACGACCCAAGCGATAAAATAGGCAATGAGGTCATACCGAAAAAACACATAGCTCTCATGACAGAACCCACCTTCGGGTGAGAATGAATACATCCCTGTCTTATCCCCCCAGAACATTCTAAAGTAATTGCCCAAAAGGGTCGGAGGGGCAGACCAGAAATAATCTGGGTTCTCAACAGGATAGGACATGTACAGGGTTCCTGCCGGATCAAATAAAAAAGAGGTCCTACGAGCCCTTAATTGATCCATGATATTGGCTGCTGTTCGATTCCCGTTGGTATTGAGGATGGTCCAACTGTAGGCGGTCGAATCTGGATAATGAACATCTGTGCCCGTGATCAAGAGTAGATTGTGATCTTGAATGAATTTGAGTGAGATTGTATCCAATGTTGCCCCATTCACAATCTCGAACCCATCAATGCCCATCTCCACCAGAGCTTCTCGACTCGGATGTCTTTGCATCCTTGGCAAATTGTAACCGTATTCTAAGGAAATGATATATATATATATAAACCATTATTAAAATCAGTGAAAAAGGAGATTGGAAAAAAAAAAAAAAAAAAAAAAAATCAAACGAACTTCAAGGAGTAAGATACTTTTGATTGTTTGTTTTGATTGTTTACCTGTGGCATTGCTCCATGGGATATGGTTGATGATGGCCAATCCTCCAAGTTGATGAGTCCTATCGATCGTTGCCTTGATTTGTTCATCCGTTGGCCACTTTGTCATTGCAATATCAATAGTCTCATTAATCCCAATCAGGTTCATATGGAATCGACAGCATCTATCAGTTATAACAAGTAAATATAAATAAATAAGAATTAATAAAAATAAAAATAAAAAATAATAGAACATCAGTATGCTAATCTGTTCAATTATTCTATTTTAGGCCAAGAAAACAAGAAAACAAGAAAAAGAAGAAGAAGAACTAAATATAACGAAAAGAAATGAAATATAAAAAAAAAATATATATATATATATAAAAAAAAAAAAAAAGGAAAAAAGAGAGAGACGTACGATAATTCCATGGCTGGGATTACAGTGATCTTGTCTGCATATTTTTCGAGCGCAATTTCCTGAGCTGCTAATCCTCCTTCGATCGTATTATGATCGCTTACAATCACAGCATTATATCCATTCGCTATATATATCAGGTAAAGTCAATAAATGTTTACAAAATACAATATTCATCTTTTTTTTTTTTTTTTTTTTTTTTTTTTCTTTCCTTTTCGACTTACCAATATGCCATTTCAACAATGTCTCCGGGTCCATCCTTCCATCCGAATACCATGAATGAGAATGTCCGTCCAACAAGACATCGTATTGAT